TAGATTAAGCAGTCTGGTGAGGCTATAGGAACCTTCTGAAGTATAGGAATGGTAATCACTTACTATTTTAGCTGCTAAAAGTTGACGATCGACTCAAACAACAGCTAATCTGACCAATCTCATTTTCGTATAACCACTGAAGTACTAGGGTATCGGCGTGTGGGCGTTAGGCGTAGAATAGCAAGTGAAGAAAGTTACTTAGTTGATGAGGTTACAGAAGTCTATCACAACATATATTGTTATTAAGAGTAGAAATTTGTTGAAATGGTGGCACCAACTCGTGTAGTACACCTGACTTTTGGTCGAAGTTATCCGGAGAACTGAAGTCTTATTCCGTTGAGATTGATGCTTCGAGACTGTAGGTGATACGACTCAAAACCGAGTGAACTGATAAAGAAAAATGTACGCATTATCGTTATCTACTTTTTTTTTTGGAAAATTCTTATGTTCACTCTTCTGAATTCCATTCATCCCCTTTTCTCTGAATGCTGTATATTCTTACAAGACAACTGACATCAATTTGATTCCTCTACCTTACATCGCCATAAACAGTTTCATCTGGATTTGTTGGTGTGTGCGTGACAACCTGAAGTGATAAGCAACGATGCCAAGTCTTACGTTGCCCATGTATTTGTTATTCGGTTTCAGTTGATGCTTCTTTCAACTCGGAGGTTTGTGGGAATGAATTCATTTTAAGGTAGTATTCGTCATGTAATGACATCAGTTGAAGATCTTGAAGAGCTGAATAGCTGCTTCATCCTAGTATGGAACTCCTCAACAGCACGCATTGACGACCACCCCAGGGGTCGAACTCAGTCCCATCAATTTTCATGAAAACCATATCATTTGGCCACTGGGATGTGGGTGCAAACTGTCAGGGAGTCACTTACTTATTATTTATTTATTTGTCTCTTGGGTTCCTAGTGGAAAATAGGGCTTCAGTAGCACGTCGCCACTTTTCATTCTCTTCTCTTCAGTCTTTTCAACCTGGCTCCACCACTGTCCACAAGCTTACATTTCTTCCTCACACCATCTCCTCCATGTCAACCCCCGGATGCCCAACTCGTCGTCGTTCCCCCTTTGGATTCCACTCGATGGCCTGGTCTGTTGCGTGATGTCCCCGAACGGTCTTCTCACTGTATGCCTAGTCCAATCCATCTCCACTTCCTTCTGCGTATTTGTTCGACTATAAGTTGTTGGTTGGTTGGTTCGTTGCCAGCCAGCCAGCCAGCCAGCCAGCCAGCCAGCCAGCCAGCCAGCCAGCCAGCCAGCCAGCCAGCCAGCCAGCCAGCCAGCCAGCCAGCCAGCCAGCCAGCCAGCCAGCCAGCCAGCCAGCCAGCCAGCCAGCCAGCCAGCCAGCCAGCCAGCCAGCCAGCCAGCCAGCCAGCCAGCCAGCCAGCCAGCCAGCCAGCCAGCCAGCCAGACAGCCAGCCAGCCAGACAGCCAGACAGACAGACAGACAGACAGACAGACAGACCGACAGAATTCCTAGTTGCTTATCTTTATCATTCTGACCATCTGATCTGACCTTCAGTATCGAGTGGGAGTAGGTAGCAGTTGTTGATGTCTATCTGTAGTTTGTTGGAAATGCTCTAACTCTCTGAACCATATAGGAGGGTTCTCATACTGGGAAAAAACAACTATACACTACTCCCAAGTTTCCAGTAATCCTCCTGCTGATGTCAGTTTGTGATAAATCCTACGTTAACTTTTCTGTGTATCAGAAATGAGTTAATGCTTTCGTTTTGAGTGGCGTTTGCCCACTATAATTTAAAAATCGCAGCTGGTTAGTTGGTATTCGCTAAGTTACGCGAAATCCGGACAGGGATTGTTCAGTTTAAGGATAATTAGTAAATCTCTCTCTTCCCTGATAATAGTTCTTATGCACTGACATGAACAAGCAATTTTCTAAATATCTTTGCAACTTTTTGGGAAGAAATATGAATAAGTAACTTGCTTATACCTATGTGTTTGCTTTTCATCCATTACGGCTGAATACAATGAAATCTGATTGGATAATATGTAGACGTCTTAAAAATAATTGAAATTTTAAAGGAGTTCACTTTGGGGGAATGACTGGTGTAAAGACATCTTTTTCATCTTCGAATTGTGTAAGCCGGAGAATATGATTTAAGTAGGTACTTTCATTATACTAGACTGCCGCTCAGTGACTGGCTTGAAATCCTAACTTCAGTTAACTTACACTAAAATGTGAACACCATTGACTGTCACTTTTGTTCTTCTTTATGATGATAAGGCCTGAGATGTGGTAGATGTTTACGTTGTATAACCTTCGTTCTAGCAGCACTCAAGTTTTTGATGTTGTTGAATAAGAAGAAAATAAAGTGACTGACTGACTCACTGATAAAATCAGCGTAGAAACTCGCAAAGAGATGTATTGGTTCAGATTTGCACACATCACAGCAGTATACAATGCAGGTGGATAGAATAAGAGTGTTATGAAAGTGAACGAAGTTGTACGAGAGGACAAACAGTCTGAAGATCAAGGTTAGAGCGAGTATTCAAACCTCAGAAGACGTCAAAGAATGAATACATCTGCGATATTGTGACCGATCTTCAACCATTTCACCAAGATCATCAACCACTGATTCCTGTTATCTCGGGGTCCGCAACGAAGTAGCTAGCCTACATCTCCACACACGACTCAGACCAACAATCACAGACTTCATGGAGTGGTGCCAGTTCTTGGTGTGACCACGCTGAACTCTCTTCGAATCTAATTCAGCTTCCTGTAGTATGGGGGAGGGGTTGTGGTAGGTGGTGACTCAGTATGGGCAGTATATGTCTGAGCCACCTGAGCTGATGAAGGTCCACAATCTAGTGAGTCGATTTATCTGTCTTGCTTGGTACTTTTCGGTTGACCACGACATTTCTCAAATGGTGATCTCACCAAATGCGAGCAATGGTACCAAGACACCTATGATCAAAGTCTTGTGACCGCTTCATGTCTTATGATTTCAACAGTCGTCCCACAGCCGTATAACATGACAGAACGGTCTGCAGCACGGTATATTCATCGTTTGATAGATAGATATCTTGGCAGTCGTCACCTCAGATAACGCAAGCTGTCGAGTAAAAGCTGTTATATCTGTTTTCCGGTTCCGAAATAAAACACTCATAAACGGCCGATGATAACCGGACAAAATCGTGCCAGCAAAATGTTTCATCAAGGCATTACAACAGCTGGATATAATATAACGTTTTTATCAGTGTTGGAATTGTGCCCGTCATGTTGCATCTACTATCCGATTTGTAAGGCGTTGCAGCATAAGTTTGTACAAGCAGCACTCACACATATACATATATGTTAAACATATCAGAATGGTAATAAAAGTAATGCAGATTCATCGATTGATGGGTGACAGTTTCGTCATACACAAAGATGGGAAGTACACTGTTGTTTAACAAACTTGTTGTAACCTCAAGGTTAAACCAAGGCTTTGAACATATTCAATTCAGTAGAAAGAATATGATAACGAAATAGCGTTCCCAGACAATGTCTTATCACTGGGATGCATGATGGAACCATACAAATACAAGTGCACAGGAAGGCGATACACAGAAATCACATTTTGAACTGCAACAGAGTTGTGCGCAAGCTCTCTCGGACGTGCCAAAACTCACTGCAACACTCAGCTAGTGCTGAATTTAGAAAACCACCTTTCGAAGTGTTCAAAACCAGTGAAAGTCAAACCAACTTCATCAAGAAATTCCTAAGGATAGAATATGGATCAAGGCAGTTATCTCAACCCACAAAACAACTCATTGTACCGCATGTCAAAGACGTCTCAGAAACTGCTAAACGATTACTTCATCCATTCCACACCAGTGTGGCACAAGTTGAAGGATTCATTACCCAAAGAGGATGAGATGAACATATTCTGCAAAACTAAAAGTAAAGACTATCAATATTACTTACTACATTGACCAATCTAGTCGTTGAATAACCCGGAAGATTTATGAGCACTAACTAGCAGTCAGATGGCACGATATATCATCATTCATGTCAGTCCATGCAGATTAGCACAACCACAGCTTCGATTGGGACAACGTGGAAGTACTAAAACAATCAAGCTGAAAAACTGTAAAAGAGAATCCCTAGAAGCACGGTACTCCATTCGAGTGGCAATCAACAGGTAAGTGAACACTGATCAAAGATACGGACTACAAAGGAGGGATCAGTCAATTGTAAACCAACCGAACAGATCAATAACCGGATATTAGATTTACGGCATGGGTCAATGGTCAGGAAAGTTATGAACACCAATTACTAACAAAAAAGGAGGAAAAAACCCATCTCAACTAACAAGGAAATAACACCTAAGGTCAGCAGATATCGTACATAGACGCTCATCTAGCTTGGAAATGCTTCACTTCTTTGTAGAGTAAATGCTGGTGAAGTCACCTAGCTAGATGATGAAACGACCAATAGTAAACCTCGAAGTTTGGAGATTACTGAACAGTTATCACTTTCATCCAGAGCTAATGGTGTAGGACTGAGTCTTCAGTTTTAAATATTCACTTTAAATTTATTCATAGTAGAACGAGTTCATTCTACAAACTCATCATGATTTAACTGAAATCCATTCTATTCATTTTATATGAATCCCTGTCGAAATTGGACCGTTTAGTTCCACAAATATTGAGCGCCGGCCGGGTGAAGCGGCTGGTGCTAAATGTGTTTTATTTGCCCAGATCTCAAGTGCGCTGAGACTTAATCTAACTTATAGAGGCTTTAAAGGCCACGCTATCAACTGATGAAATAGCCAATCACCTTTCGACATTTCGGCTGGGAAGGTAGTTATTTTTAGAATGAAGAGATATGATTGGTTGTCTCGGCAGTTGCTAGGGTGGCCTTTAGGGTTAGTCCTGGTTTATATTTATTCCATTTAATTTCTCTTCCCTTTTCATCATGTGATCATGTAAATGGATGTGTGCTTGATGTGTCTGTTTTACTAACATAGGACACTAGTTAAACGACGACATTTTGTCACCCAATAGGATACTAGCTGTCACCTGAGTGTATGGTGTGTCTCACCTGTAATTGTCTAAACAAGAACAGTTGCGGCGAACGTGGATTCCGCATTTTTGCACCATTATCTGGGTAATTATGGTCAGGCGTATTGAACTTTCGGGTTTTTGCCTCTGTTACATATTATCAATATTACTGCTTCGGTAAATGTTAGGATCACAAGTTTGTATTCAGCCAGAATCGTCAAAAGTTTTCATCCCACCCACGATTACAGTCACATCAACAACTGACAGTGAGCTGGAATTTTCCAGATCACCATCCAGCATATCTTTAGTGTCATCAGACTGTACGAACACCAGTCATTTGAATGCTTTTGATGACGGTGATGATAATGATGATGGTGCCGGTGCTCAAAGCTCTTCGAAAAAGATATCTGTATCCAGTTGTGAACTAACCAGTAATGTCAACGACTATCAGTCTTCCTTATCATCGTCCATCATCCCTACAGTGAGGTGTAATAGTACATACCCTTCATCTATGCATTCCCCTATGGCATCAGGAATTTCGTTATACTCATCTTCATCAATAAATAATGCAGATGATAATCTGCACAAATTATCTCTGGATGAAATATACAATTCATCAGATATCTTCAGTTCTACGTTTAATGATCAAACCCAACCACCTGTAGGTTTCAGCAATCAACACGTGAATGCCAGCTCGTTATTTTCGCATGCAAACCCAGAATGCTCAACTTCATTAAGACCAGTACGGTCGTTAAACGGATTCTTCCAGTCGGGTGCTTCAAATACTTGTGTTTATTCTTCAACAACTAGCAAACATGATCACTCCCTTCCTCATGGTCGGCAGTATCCAGAAAATCGAGTTGGATTTATTTGTTTATGTCATGGGTATGACGGAAAGAATCAAGATATTACATTAAGTCCTAAAGTTGACTCAAATGTTACTTTATTTGATAAAACACTGGCGTCCCTACCATCATTGTCGTCCTCATCGTCAATGGTGTCATCATCACCATCATCACCAAATAACACTACATCTCAACATCAACAGAACGGTGGGAATCCATCTGTGAAGCAATCTAGAACTTTATTAAGGCGTTTTCGTAGTTTTATTATACAGTCAGTTAGAAAGTCTGGTCGTTCGGTAAATGTCAATGAGAACGATAAAGTGTTGTGCACAAAAGGAGATTCTGTTGTTGTTAAGTATAAAGTAACTGATCGTAACAAAAAGCGCAGTAAATCCTTACGTGCCATATCGAACTGTATCCTGTCCACTGCTTCCGTATCACCATCTACATCGCCGAACGGTGTACATCATAGGAATGAAATGAAAGAGAAGGATAAGAGTTCCCGTTCATCACGTCGTCATCGATTACGTTTACATTCTGATCATGGAGAGCAGTCAGACTGGCCCACTTGCTTTAATGACAATGGGCATACAGATGATAATTTCTTGACTAATAGTTGCCGACAGCTTGGGATAGTGGTAAGCCAAATTTGAAAGATATATGTAAATATACACTGGTAAAGGTTTCATTCTACATTAATGAATGGTTGTTTGGTTTATCTGTGTCCTAAAAGTAGTAGGTCAGTACCCTCGGAATTACAGTTCATTGTCTTAGGAACTTTACCTTCAACCAGGTCTTGGATTCCGACCCCATTCCAATTACTTCAACCCGAGTGATTGGACAGTAACATAAGCCCATACACAACCACTGTGGCACACGAAGAATTCCTTTATGTTCAGTTACCATAAGTCGTTACTAACACCATTTTATATGCTACTTCCAGGAAAAAGAAGCAAATTAATTATAATCATCACTCGTGTTCAGTGCTTGAGAGGATATAGTCAATTTTCGGAAGCAATTTTCCTCACGTACTGAAAGCCACTTTTGTTTAGAAATTACTACAGTAAATTACTATTATCACTTCAGCACTTCCATCGGGAGGTGAATGCATGATTTACCAGCCTATTCAAACTTTGGGTACTTAAATCAATAGACCACAGCTTTGTGGTTCTAGCGTTTCAAGTTTCCGTTGTTTGCAGAAGCTTTTCCTATAAAAAAATACTTAAATGTTAAGGATCGTGCTAATCCTGGCTATCCACTTTCTTTTTGTACGTACGACTATGGTTGTTTTACGAAACCCATGAATTGATCCGTTTTGTTACGGAATGTGGGACTAAGTGAGGGAGCTTTATTTCCAGAGTTACATTTGATGCAACTGCAACCGTTTTACCAAGTCAATTTTCAAACTGAATCCTGTTAATGTAGTTTCAGGCTAGTGGGGATTTTAATTATGAGGTAATATTCATCACTGACTGACATCAGTTGGAAGGTCTTTGAAGACCTGGGAGCACTGAACAGCTGTTTCGTCCTAGTATGGGACTCCTCAGAAGTATGCACCCACGACCCAGTCAGGCATCGAACTTAGAACCTTCAGTTTTCACGGCGAACGCGTAAACCATTCAACCACTGGGTCGGGTTTTTATGGTACACAGTTTCTTCTCCTGTCAATTCACAATATAGGACGACTATCATCCAAGGTCTTCAGTTCGCATCCTCTGCACTTCCGACTGGTTGACCACACAGGTCATGGCTTCTCACTAAAATTTCGGGATATCTATCACGAAGCGTTATAGTTGCGTTTTGTTGTGAATTGACGGGGGTTGGAAACTAAACTCCAACCTAGTGGCTGAGTGGTTAACGCGTTCGCCGTGACCCTGCAGGTCCTGAGTCTGATGCCTGGCGGGGTCGTAAGTGTCCACTACTGAGGAGTGCCATACTAAGACGAAACAGCTGTTCAGTGCTCCCAGGTTTTCAAAGATTCTCCAACTGACGTCAGCCTGTGGTGAATACTACCTTGAATCCTATTACTTATGACTTTTCTTCGAAAGGTGTCTGCAAATGATGTTACGGTCTAATACTAATTGATATCAGAATAAGCGTGTTTACTAGCAATTTCCTGCACTGCTTAATGTCTTTAGAGTTTTTATTTAAATGTATTTTGCATTTCCTATATTGTCCTATTCATTTTACATGCTTACCGGAAGTGAGTCATAACAGTTTATGCTTTCCTGATTTACCTCTGAAGTAGTTTTGTGTGCAGATTTCAGTTGTCCATTACAAATCGGTCAGATCATAAGGTTCTGAGGGGTCGCCGTATAAACCGCTGATGGATTATCTAGTGTTTGGATCATGTTGAATTTTAGTTAGCAAAACTATTAAAGGGAATCTAAAAATTGTAGACACTAATAAATAATATTCAGAACTTCGTTGCCTTGCATAACAGTCATCTTCCCAAGGGTAATACGACTAGTCATACTATCACTTTTGATAAAAATCAATGAAAATATCGAATTAAAACATGTTTAGTAACCGTGTGCACATTCGTACAGTAGGTAATGACTCGTTAGGGTTAATGATACTACGTGGTTGCCAAAACCTCGGAAGTTCGAACCGGGTTCGAACTCGTGACTCATCGTTTGGAGACCAAGTGACAAGACCATTGAGTCACAGCACCACAAGGAAATCACTTACACATATTTATTTTACATTACAAAACACCAAACCATTATTTCGTTGTCACTTTCTGTGGACATTTGTTATTATCAGTCAGTGATATATAATTTATGAGTTATCGGCCACTTAAATCTGTTGTACCGCAGGACAATTTCTGTACACTGGGAGCTGTGGTTCCTTCGTCAGGACAGTCGACTTTCAACCAATGAGTTGTGAGTTTGAGCCCTACTAAATTTACTCAGCTGTTAATCATTGTCAAGTGGATGGACATGCATATGGTTGTTGAGCAAGAGAAAGCATTTTCATTTTGTTTCTAATAATATGGACACTCACGTGAGATCTGTGAAATATAACAGTTACTTTGAGTTCTTTTAGCAATGCGTAACACTTATTGTTATCACTAATATCATTGACGTGTTTAAATTATTTAGAGTGTGGTTGCTAGGCTTGAACAACCTAAATTCCCTCTGATTCAATAAATGTTTCAGTGTTATTGACGGTAGGAATGAATAAAGTTTATTAACTTGTGTCCATTGGTGAGAGCAGATAGTTTTACTTTGGGAATCTCATTCCCGAGCCAGAATTATCAGCAATCTTAGTTTTTGGAGTTCGAATACATGACTTGATACATACAATACCTTGAATATATTCCGCAGAAGATGAGAATGATCTACCGTCTTCATGTGAAGCATCTTAAATAGCTGCTAATGGACGCATTCCTGTTTGATTGGTAGTTACGTCCTCAGTTTCAGGTGCGTCGACTCTTTATTCGGATGTAAAATGACGAGAATCAGTCGTTCAGAAGCCGTAGGTTTCGTGCTGATTGGGGCTCATCAGAAAGGAGTGTCTGTAACCACTAGGCGATTGGCTTTCTCTCAATCATTCAAACATGAGTCACTTAGTACCGGAGTCAGACTTTACCACTAAACTATCCAGGCCACTCATGAATCTCTGTAGAATTAGATTATTTATACAAATTAGTCATGAGTCAGGCAGATAGAATCAACATAGAACCTCATGTACATTGGTTCAGATTTGCACACATCACAGCAGTATACAATGCAGGTGGATAGAATAAGAGTGTTATGAAAGTGAACGAAGTTGTACGAGAGGACAAACAGTCTGAAGATCAAGGTTAGAGCGAGTATTCAAACCTCAGAAGACGTCAAAGAATGAATACATCTGCGATATTGTGACCGATCTTCAACCATTTCACCAAGAATCATCAACCACTGATTCCTGTTATCTCGGGGTCCGCAACGAAGTAGCTAGCCTACATCTCCACACACGACTCAGACCAACAATCACAGACTTCATGGAGTGGTGCCAGTTCTTGGTGTGACCACGCTGAACTCTCTTCGAATCTAATTCAGCTTCCTGTAGTATGGGGGAGGGGTTGTGGTAGGTGGTGACTCAGTATGGGCAGTATATGTCTGAGCCACCTGAGCTGATGAAGGTCCACAATCTAGTGAGTCGATTTATCTGTCTTGCTTGGTACTTTTCGGTTGACCACGACATTTCTCAAATGGTGATCTCACCAAATGCGAGCAATGGTACCAAGACACCTATGATCAAAGCCTTACACACAAGTGAGTAGTATGTGCTTCTGTCTGATTCTTAGTCTTAGGAATGACCCACCGAATGACACTTTCCTTATGGTGGCAGATGCATCATGCTAATGAGGACAAAAGAGCCTATCATCTAAAACTCATGGCATACTTCCTTTTTCAATCTGAATCACGGAAATTTTCGCATATTGAGCATTTGGTTCTGTCCGGTGTCAACCGAAGACTGGAAGATTTGACCAGCATTACTTTTAGCAGCAGTGGTTGTATGTGGTGAAACAACCCAATGAGAAACGTTGGTTTGCAATGTAAATAACTAGTTGGTGCAACCACTTGGTTATAATTTGTATTTTTCATAGTAATGAGTGCTTTCAAAGGAAATGTTAGTTAAAATAGACGAATAAGGTAAAAATTCGGGAGGTGGAAACTGTTTTTTTACTTGAACTGTTTTGTTAAGAAAATTGTTCTGCAGTTATGAGTTACACCTGATTACACGGCAATACAAGTTATAATAAGCCATATTTTTATTTCTGTTATAATAGTTGAGTGATTTTTGCGTAAATTCCCGAAAAGTATTTTTCATCTTGAGTTATTTCTTCTTCACATCGTACTCATGCACAAAAGGGACAGAAAAGTGCTGGATACCAGGTAGGGTGTTAAATACACACCTCTGAAGGAACAAAATTAACGATATATATATATATCGTCGCTGGAGGGCAACCAATTTCATGTTGTCTGGTCCTGAGTACTGATCGAATTCGATCAGTCATTTTATAGTATCGCCATCAAGCTAGGAGATTCACCATTGCTGTATACTTTGATAGATGTCAGATAGTTGGAGGCAGTTGGCAAGATACCCTTGTTCTTAGTTTTGTGCTTGTTGCCACCATTCAGAAAAGTGCATCTGCAACCTCCTCGGGATTGATGTTCGTTGTCAAATTCTAATCTAAGTAACCTAGTGCTGCAATCAGAGACGTTATCATTGAGGCATTCGGCCTCCGATTGACCTCCTGTAGGGTTTGATTAGATGCATTGATTGGTCACTAAAGAGTGGTAACGTCTTTGACTGGAGTACTGAATAACACGGGTTCGAACCCCTGACGAGTGCTAATAATCAAGAAACCTAGGTCCAAGACTTCCTGCTGATCACCTCTATCCAACTAACATCTATCAAAGTGTACCGATGTGGTGCGTCTCCTATCTTGATGGAATAGCATACTGTCAGCATTCTCATCAGGTGATACTTTTACAAAATCAGATAGATTACCGAAAATATTGATTGGATTTCTGACAATACTGTTATTGACTAGTGATAAATTGGATTTGTTAACCTTTGGGCTAGCCGCTTTAATAGTCAGGGAAGCATCAAAAAATTTTTGGCCAAAAATCTTCACATAGAAGTAAATGTAAACAGCAAGTACTACAATCTAGAAGAGACAGTAATACAAACAAACACAAAATCTCTGTGATGAACTTCTAAGCCATCATGAATTTATTATGAACTATGTATATGGATGGAGACAGTGTTTTTAAAGAAGTTTATTAGCCGGCTAAAACCAACTGCACGTTTGGAGTGTGCACAACTGTTGATTATGAAACGTTCGATTCAGTCCAACTCTATGCCAACAAAAAAACATTCTCTAACAATAAGATGAAGAAAGAAGGGTACAAATATTTTATCATTGGTGTGTTTGAATCACGTACAGTGTTATCTTTGACGAAATTAGACCTACAGTTTTCGAGAACG